TATTAATAAACATTAAACCGAAGCCAAGAGGAACGAGTAACATTTGTTTTAAAAATGTAAGGAATAGAAAAAGCAGATACTTGTGTGGAAATGTAATGAGTATACGTCAGAAGTAGGAAGAAAAATAAGTAATGGAGTAAAGTATAGATACCTAAAAAGTGTACTTAAGTACAATAAATAAGTATTTGTACTTTGTTACTTGACACCTCTGGTAGTGTGCATTTCAAAACCACTCTTTATCTAGTTTTTCAGCTCTACATTCTACTTTTGATATCCTGGTGCACTAAAATACCAAGTGTAAAACAAGTGTCTCATTAGAATAGTTATAATTTCTGTTCATTTCTCAATTCCTGTTGGACATTGGTTTTATATTTTCTAGTCATCTTACCCTAACTGGAAAAGTTTGGATAAAGGGTCTCGTGGGCGAAAAAGGTCTAAAAGACGAAACAGTTAGGGGAGTGGTGGCCTAGTGGTCAGAGCATTGAGCTTGGAATCCAGAGGTTCTGAGTTCAAGACCCACTCCCACGGACTGCCACTCTGGGTCCCTGAGCAAAGACCCTTAACCCCACACTGCTCCTCAGGAGCCGCACAATGGCAGCCCACTGCTCCCCAAGGGGATGGGTTAAATGCAGAGAGTGAACTTTGTTGCTCTGTACTTGTGAAAAGCTTGAAGTTTCTGTTTTAAGACAAAGATGCGACAATGTGAATAAAACAAATAAGAGGTCATAGGCCTACTCCTGGAACTTATTCACTTTTTGTTGCATTACAACCTTCAAAGCATTTTATTTGGTATTTGCTCTGTTAGACTGACAGCAGGGTTGTAATATGGAATTGTTTTTATTTTACAAATGAGTCTGAAAAGTGTAGTATGCTATTCAACCATCTGTACTCCATTGCAGGTAACAGCTGTAGACAAGTTTATATCTGGATTCAGTTTTAAAACAGCATATCAAGCTTTGAACCCCCTCAGAGCAAGGAAGGCATTAATTAGTCAAACTGGCTAAAGTCCATTGCAACTGAAATGAAGGGATCCACAGCTTGGAAGACAACATTTGTTTTCAGAACAACTATAAGATTATACTGTCTGCAAATATGGTCTCTTTGGAGGTAGGATGAGCAGAACGCTTCTGATGAAAATGTGCAAAGGACATCCTGTTATTATAAGCCATTAAGGAAACACAACCAAGAAAGTGGAAGAAGGTACTATGATCAGGTGAGGTTAAGGTTCGTTCTCATACATTTTTTATCAGGTGTTAAAAAAATACAGAAAATAGAAAAGCAATGGTCTGGAAATTGTTATTATTTGGTATTTAGTGCCTTTGTAGTGTTGGATTTTTTCAGGGGAACAGCAAAAGGAGTAAGGAAAGTTTTTGACAACATTTTGTTAATAATATTGACCAATTTAAAGTTGTTGTTTTTTACTGTCTTTGATAACCAACAATTTACAGTTTTTTCTTAGGTTCTTATTTGTACTACATGGAAATGTATCTGTAAATCCAAAATATTTGGTGTGGCCTAGTGGTTAGGGCATAAAGCTTGGAATCTAAAGGTTCTGAGACCAAACCCCACTCCCACAGACTGCCACTCTCCCTGAGCAAGACCCTTAACCCCAAACTGCTCCACAGGCGCTGCACACTGGCAGGCTACTGCAGAGGTAAATTTCTCTAATGTGAGATCAATAAGGTTCAATTATTTATTTAAACTATATCTGGTGAGAAGAATTTGTTTCAACAAGAATTGCATTTTATGGGACATGACTTCACTTTATTTTTATTCTGTTGACTTATTTCATGAAAAGAATATTATTTGCAGGAGAAATAAACCCATATGGAAAGTATAGCCCAAATAAATAGTGCTGTAACAACCCTAGACATGCCATTCTGTCACAGTTGGGACCAGCAATGGGCTAGCCAATAATGGGAACAGTAAAACACAGCTTTATGGATTATACACAAGATGAATCAGTGAGTTAGCTGGCTGCAACCTTGTTTCTTAATGTCTGAAATTACATCAGATTCAAATCTTCCAGTTTAAGGTACATAAGAATTAGTTAAAATGCCAAAATAACAAGAAAAAGAATGTGAGAGCAGGTAGATAAGCTCAAACAAGCAAATCTATTGATTTATTCCTACAGTCAGTGACCTTCGCTCTTACATACTACCATTAACCTAAGATAAACACATTTACATACAATCACAAACCCTTGCTGGACAAATCTTTAAAATAAGATGGTAACAGTCTTCCCAACAAGTTTTATCACTGAATTTAGTGATGCTTATTACATGATTGAAGTCTGCTAAAACTGCCCGTATCGTTTTTTTCCACAATCATGCTTCATTCATTGTTCATTTTATTGTAGAAATCTGTGGAATTAACTTTGAAAAATGCTCCTTTTTGATCTTCTCAGAATATATGCATATATAGTGAGGCATATTCATTATTCTTTTTATCTGTATGATTAAAAGCATATATTCATTTAAGCAAAACAGCATTGAAAAGCTTCAAATGCATTAAAATTTCGCTGCCAAGATGACTGATGCATAAGTACACAGCCCTACAAATGATGATGGTAGGGTGCTCAAAAATTGCACTGAATAACACTATAATATAATATAATGATATGATGCAACTTTATTGATCTCACATTGGAAAAATTTACCTCAGCATTTAACCCATCCCCTTAGGGAGCAGTGGGCTGCCATCATGCGGCGCCTGGGGAGCCGTGTGGGGTTAAGGGTCTGCTCAGAGAGCCAGAGTGGCAGTCTGTGGAAGTGGGGCTCAAAGTCAGAA